GCCTGAGGGCAAAAGTACCCGCCTTTGTCTTCCCGGATTTGTGACAGCCTCCGAGCTGGGGTATCATGGTCAGAGTGGCATCAAATGGAGTCTGAATTTGTGTCAAGACTCAAACAGAGTGAGGACTCCACTGTAGCTCACAGCCTTTCCTTCCCAAACCAAGTGCTTTAGAATTTAAACTCTAATACAGATTCAGGAATGGTGGCCAGGATTGGGGTACGCAGCTGGGATCCGGACTGCTGGCTGCTCTCCAAGTGTCTCTTTCTTTGAATTAAAAAAAAATTATTTTATTGTGTCGAAACTATCTGCAGCAGAATATACATCCATTCAAATAGTTCTCTCAGCAGGAAGTTCTATTCTGAAGAGAGAGAAAAAAGAAATTGACTGTGAAGTGCAGTGCTGGGCACTGGGTGCTTAGGATTTTGAGAGGGGCTGTGTTTTCAGACTTGCTCTTTGAATCACAACAAAGTCTTCATCACGAAAGGAAATGCTGGTGGAAAAAAAAGCAGGCTTGAGAGCGAGGCTGGGCTGTCCTATGGTGCCTGTGTCCTCCATCGATCCAGAACCTCCACCGTTAACACTTGACACAGCTTATGGAAAGACGTATTTAGCAATGAGTTCCTGGGTGGTGCCAATGGTTAATATACCTAACTGCTAACCAAAAAGTTGAAGGTTCAAGTCCTCCTAGGGGCATAAACTATGCTAAGATTATAATAATGAGAAGAAAACATTTTATTTGGTATATGCCTCAAAGGGCAGAGATGGGTGTAGACTGACACCATGGAGGCCATGCCTGGGCGAGGCTGAAAAGCCACACACAGTGTGCTCTTTTTTCTGCAGTGCTGTACACAGAGGAGATAGAAACAGTCATTTCTGCAAAACCTTTGTCAAAGACTTTATGATAAAGACAGTTAGGGAGGGTCTTTTGTTGACCCGGATTGGGGAAGACAAAGGAGGTGGCTGGCTCCTATTTGCATATCTTGATCTCGAGGGGGAACTTGCTTATATTCACCCGTATCCTGGTGTTTGTTCCTCCTTCACCTGGCGGATCCCTTCTATTCTGAGTATATTCATCCTTCATCAGTCTTTCCCATCAGTAGGCTGCTCCTCCCTGCCTTCCTGGATAACCAAGATTACTCAGGGCCAGTGTCCTTGGACTTCACTCTGGAAGAAAGAGGGCATTCGGACTGATTTTAAGGCTTAGAGTACCACCACAGCTCTGTCAGGAGTGTCCACCGAGAGGCACCTTGAGAGAACAGACCACCTTTCCTGCTTGCAAACATCAGAACCGCTGAACACAGGATGGGGCCCTGTTCTCCTGGGACACCTATGGGGCTGTCTTGACTGGAGCTGGCTCCCCTGTTTAGGGAACCGGCGTTTGTCTGACTCGTGATTTCACTGGCCAGCAGGACCTGGGGGCTCAGGCTATCCCGGCAATGGCTGACACTGGGAGCTCTTCCAGCCATGATGGTGCTGGGCTCCCCCCTCCTCTGTTTCCAGGCTCTCCCCTCTGTGGTCACGTCATCAGCAGATTCCTCTTCTACCATGGAGAGAGCATCCTATTGCTAACATATCCTACGACTTTCCCAAGCCCACTTCTTGAATCGGCCAGGCCAACCTCAGACAGGCTGTTCTCATTTGGAGCTGGGCCTTTGGTCCCCAGAGCACAATATGGGGCTGGGAAGCTGGTCTTGCTAATTAACCTCCCTTCCCACCGGGCTTCTGACTTAGGCAGCCTCCAGGGCAAATTGGGGAGTGGACTGTCTGACTGCTCTGAAGGGTACTGTAGTTGCCTCTTTGTTCAGATAGTGGTTTATGGTCCATTTCTGTCTTTTTTTAATAATTAGGTTTATTGACATATGTAACTCACATGTCATGCACTTCAGTAGTCAGGTCATATCATAAAGAGTTACACGACAATCAATGACCATAATCAGTTTCAGAACATTTTTTTCCATCCTGTACCCAATGCTGCTAGCTCCCCAGTCCCCTCCCAATAAGCTGATAATCCAGTTACTTACTGTCTCTATGGGCCCTCCCATCCTGGATTTCATATACTGGGAAACACCCGAAAAAGAGAAAGAAAACCAGCAAAGAACTCACAAACAAAACCCCCACAACAATAACAAAATAAACCAGAGAATATCCCCAATCGAAAAGAAGGCAGAAAATATTAAAAAATCAGAACATGTTTAAAATGGATCAAAAGTGAGATCAGCGATAAGGTGTTCGATTGTAACCTGACTGGTTTTGCAACAATTCACGTTCCGTTGCCATCTGCGTATTGTTGTTGCTAGGTGGCCTCGGATCCACAGTGACCCTGTGCACAACAGACAGAAACACGGTCTGTGCCGTCCTCATCATGTACCCATCGACGCAACCGCCATGTCCCTCTATCCCATTGAGGGCCGTCCTCTTTGTCACTGCCCTTCCACTTTTCCCAACATGATGTCCTTCTCCAGGGACTGGTCTCTCCTGCCAACATGTCCAAAGGATGTAAGACAATGTCTTGACACCCTGGTCTCTCAGAAGCACTCTGGGCTTACTTCTTCCAATAAAGATTGGCGTGTCCTTTTAGCAGTCCATGGTACTTTTATTCTTCTCCAGCCCTGCAATCCAAACGCATCAATTCTTCTACAGTCTTCCTTACTCAGTGTCCAACATTCACATGCATAGGAGGTAAGGGACAATACCGTGGCTTGGGTCAGGCATACTTAGTCATCAAAGTAAAAGAAGTCTTGGGGAGCAGACACACCTAGTACAATATGTCTTTTGATCTCTTGACTGCTCCTTCCATGAGCTTTGATTATGGATCCAAGCAGGACGAATGAGAACTTCAACCTTTTCTCCTTAACCTGGTTGTTCGGTTCCGACTCATAGTGACCCTATGGATAACACAGTGGAACACTGCCCAGTCCTTTGCCAGACTCACAATTGTCTTCAAGTTTGAGTCCATTGTAGCCACGGTGTCAATCCATCTTACTGAGGATTTTCTGGTTTTGCGGCCCCTATACTTTACCCAGCAGGATTCCCCTTTTCCAGGGACACGTCTCACCTGGTACAGGAAAATGACATAACCTTGTGCATTTATTGTCTGTGAAAATGTGTGGAGTGCATGTGTGGGGGGAAAAGGGAAAAAGTGTGTTCATTGAGGATAAGGACAGATCAATGGGAATGATATTTTTATGGAGTTCAGTAGGGTTAAAAGAAGGCGCCCTGGTGGCGCAGTGGTGACAACACTCCATTGTCAATGGAATGGCATGCAGTTCAAACCCACCAGCTGCTCCATGAGAGTAGGATGAGGCCGTTTGTTTCTATAAAGATTGATAGCCTTGTAAACCCCGTGGGGAAAGTTCTAGTCTGTCCTATAGGGTTGCTATGAGTCAGAATT